ACTGAGCAGTCTTCACAGGCACAGATTAAGAAGACAATTTATTTCAGCTCAGGTAGTCCTAATGAAAAGGACAGTAATCCTAGCATTAGAGAAGTCAAAGTGCCGCAGGAACAAAGAGGTGGTGAGCCACGTAAAAGGACTAGCAGTGTGCTATACCCATGTACTTACCCACCACTCAGCCCTCGCTCACCATGCACTATTCTGCCCTAGGCATGCGGCTAAAAGCAGATGGGTTTGTGGATGAATAATTCCCTGACCTACTCTCAGTCGTTTCCATTGTACACTAAACTCAGCTTCCAATTACATCAATACCATCTATCAAAAACCAAGACAACGCCACCTCTAAACAACCTTCTTCCTAGTATTAACAACACTATCAAGAATTCCCCCAATATGAACTACTTTCAGCAGTCAGCAGAAAGTTTTTTTTGTAAATATTGCATTTTATTCCTTCTCCAATTAAGAATTTGAACTAGGCTCATCTTAACTGTATTTCCAACATGTGCTGCCTGAGCTCTGAATAAATCAATACTACCATTGGGCTTAGCATCATCTTCTACAGAAATAGCAGCTTTCTGCTTCTAGACACACTAGTTCAAACACGGTTGCTTTACAAAAGAGGACAGTGAACAGTTTTGCTGAAATAGGTATGAAGAGAAGACAGAAAGAGTGATGGATTTGCATTTGCTCTGATTAGGAAGCTACAGTCATGCTTTTTTTTTTTTTTAGTAAGTAGAGATATAGGTCAGAAACAAGGACTGACATGCAAGGTGCTTTTCTAAAGAATAACTCACTCTAAAAGTTTATTTAGTTCTTACTTTTATTTAGTAAAATTCAGCAAACTTTACTAAATACTTGGAAGTCTCCAAATCAATGAGGAAAACTTCTGTACTGGTGAACATCGACCATCTGCAGAAGTCTAAACTTTGGAGTGTTGAGTTTACATGGTTCCAGTATTCATTTTGTGTTAATTAAATAAAAATTTAATTTTTATGGGTTCGTGTCTTCAGAGTTTTTATTGGATTTACAAATTTTCTCCAAATTAAAAACAAATTAAAAGAGAAGATAGGAAGAGTGTAAGAATCTCAGTTCAGGTTCACAAACATCGGTGAACTCTGCATGGCTTTGTGTCATATTGCAACTCATTTGTTTTAACATTATCAAACTCTTCAGTAAGCTTCCTTCAAATGAAGAAAAATGATTTAAATATTTTAAATAGGCTGACAAAAAAAGGATCAAAAATAATTCAAATCATATTGTTCTAATTTTATAGACATCCAATAGCACAGTAAACAACATTTCTTCAAAATCAGCACTTAGCAATCACAACACTTTTATGCATCTTACTGAACACAGCGTATTCTAGCAGAAAGTGTCAAGGACAGACATTTCATCCTGTGCTTTGGTATTGTAGACTTAAATATCCCAAACAGTAATAGATCCTTTACTGCCTTTTCAGAAGATACTCCCACAATCATTCCCCCAGTAATTCCAAGTTCTTTCTTTCAAATCAAGTGAAGTTAATTATGGGGAAAATAAAGACCTATCATAAATGACAAATTGTGAGTGTATTCAACTAAACATTACATAAAGATCTTGCAGATACAAATGTAACATGAGTTGTCCTGCAACCGAGTGTTTGATTTGTTGATTCATTGCTTAGATTCCTCTTTATTCTACTGAAAAAAGAAAAAAAGAGTCATTTGAGATGCAGGTTGCATCATTCACCCCTCTTATTGGCCTTTTTGAGAAAATTTCAAGTAATATTAAAGCGATCCACAGAATACAATGATGGCATCTTGCCAAGAAACACATCTGAAAAAGGAGTATAACATTTGTATTAGTGCAATACTTTCTTCAGTGTATCATACTCAATATCTTTTTGGGAAAAACAGTGATTGCATTAAACATTAAATCAAAGACCCACTCTAGTGTAAAACAGCAATTTGTCTTCAATTTTCCACTTAGTAATTCAAAAACTCTTTTGACTATCAACTGCTGACAATTTTTTTTGCTGGCTACAACTTGGTTAGAATAATAAGAAAAAAATCATTAGCATGTTAATAACTTGGCCTCTCTAAGGGCTACTTAGTCGAACCTCTATCAGAAAAAGAAGCTTCTTTTTCATCCCTATTCTTACTTGTGAAGTGAATATAAATTACCACAATCTCCTAGTTTCCTTCATTTCAATCTGTAATGATTTCCCAATGAACAGAATACAGTCCTGTCATACTTTCTGCAACAGCAGCTTACACAGAAATTTTCACATCTCTAAAGATGAGAAAAGGAAAGACAAGAATTACCACACAGATAAGAAAATGCAGTCATTAAATCAAAACTGCAAGAGGATATTATGTGAGCAAAATATTGTCTACATTTTAATATAGGTGTCTGGGAGTAGCTTTCTATGCTTTATACATACTATATTCAAAACAATTTATACATCAAATTTCATGCTGAGTCTAGAGTAGGAATGAAGTACAGAAAACTACTTATGGTGATTTAGAGGCATTTTTTAAGTTCTTTACCCAAAATCAAGTAAAATCATCCAACAATGGAGTACCTCGAGCATTTTTTAATCTTCGCAGGATAGAAGGTTTAAGATACAAAAAGATAAATATTTATGACCAGATCTTTACACAAAACAGATATTGTTTATATGCATACACTCATATATGCCAGTTTTCAACATGGAAATGGAACGTTTTGTTACTGCTGCTATTTTGTGCAATTAGTAAATGGACCAAAACCAATTACATATAGATTACATACAATAGAAGAAATATGACATTTAGGATAAATAACAGTGACTTTAATATCTATTGCTTTATTCAAATGATCTACATACAAATGTTAGAAATTTTCATCAAAATTATGCAATTAAGATTTTCATATAATCTCTATTTTTATCATTAGAAAATTTTCTGTGATCTATGTGTTTAATACAGTTATATCAATATTTTTAGATAAAAATGAGAGATTCAGAACATATTTTCAACAGCATAAACAACATTCCAGCTGTCACATTACCATCTGTAGCAAACAGTACAGCGTACTTTTTAAAAAGTATTGATATATACAACTAATGATATTTGAAGTAGAGAACACATTTGCTACTGTAGCTCATGCTGGTTTCTGGCCTTGCCCAACAGTAGATTCCTGTATTCATGTGCTGTGTGTAATTATCTAACAAATTGGATCCAATCATAGAGGTTTAATACTCCACTTCGGTATTTCACCTTTATCTTACAAGAATCAGAATTGATTCTTCCAAATTCAACAAAAATACCAAATATTAAGCATAAATGTACACTTCTTCTACGGAAGCTAATAAAAGCAATATTTAAAAAGAGAAACAAAAAGAACTGAGGAATTATACTGGATACCAAATGAATTAACCCAGTTAACAAACACTGCTCACTTGCTTTGTTTTTTTAAAAATTGACTTAATTTACATAGAAAAAATAGCAACTGGAAACAAAGGAGTAACTTAGAAATTCATCTTGCAAAGTATGTTAATTTCCTTTCTACTACTGGATGCTCTCAAGACAAACTTTGGAGAGAACAGGGTTTGTCCCAAGATCATATTGTCAGCAGACTAAGAAATTTATGACAAAACAGGTAAAATCAGTTCTAGTCTGAAGCATGCAATCCCTTCCAACTTCCTAAAGCTACCACTCCAGGCCAAGCAAAAAATTTACAGTTATTTACAGTACAAAGGTGCCCAAATCAGTCCACATTCTCACTGTAGCCTGTTAAAAACAATTCTATTGGTTGCTCAAAGCCCTGATAGACTCAGTGTTCAGAAAGAACTGCAGAGATGAGCCAAGCTACCACACTGCTATCAAGGATCTTCAGCACATCCCTGCACTGACAAAGGAGGGAGAAGTTTGAACGAGAATAACCAGTTCTATGAGGAGCCCTCCGTAATGATAAACATTGCTGTTGCCTTGGATGCACAAACAAGCTTCAACCAGCCTCAGCCTGTATTTATTTAGTGAAAAAGAATTAGTAAGACTCATAATACTGTAACAACCTAGTGTCTGTGCTTTATTTTGAGAACTCCTAGAGTACAAAAAAAAAAATATTTCTTCACATACTATAAGATTACAAAAGCATTTTCAGGGTCTGAGCTCTCCCAATAGAAACTTGCCTATATTCTCTCAACCTATCAATTCCTTTAACAAAGAAAATAAACTATGGTTAATTCTTTGCTATTCCATCCATTAACAGCGGAGGGTGGGGGGAAGAATATTGGGATTCATTACATATTCATAACAGAGTCAAAGAATACATAACACTTTTAGGGTAGAAGTGTTACGAGACTGTTGGCTGCTGGCAATGAAGCTCTAGAACAGTGAAAAAAGCTAGAAAAATGCAAATACAGTCTATGAAAGGTAGAGTGGAAAAGAAGAAAAATGTAAGGGAAACATCTATGATATGAATGAACATTAATGTTATGAGAAAACAGTAACAAGTTATAACTGCCCCTGATCTGTCCAAATAAGAAAGATGCTTTAACAGGCCCTGCTGGGATGTGTTCTCTGCCTAAGTTTCACTAAGAACTATATGACAAAACATAGAATATACATACTAAACTGGCTGATGATATCAAACAGGAAGAGACAGAAACAACATAAGAGGCCAAGATTAAATTCAAAACTGAATTGACAGTGTGGAGAAAAGCTCCATTATAAAAGATCCCATAAGGCAGGAATAGCAATAAACACTTAGAAGATAGGGGGGAAAAAAAAGATTAATCTACAGTTTTCATGTAAAGGACGCAAATGTTAGAATAGATAAAATAAATACATAACAAGCACACTAAATTATTGGTACTGACTGAAAGACTATCAATCTGAGATGACAGGCACAAAAATATAGTCAGAAATGCTGGAGGTTTTTCTTTTTTTTTTTTTTTTTCTTTGTGGTGTTTTTGTCTTGGTGGTTTTTCTCCTTTTTTTTTTTTTTTTTTTTTTAATATATTTATATCTGCTGAAAACAGCATTTGTTCTTCTCTGTGGAACGATGAATATAATTGAAGGAATTCCTTACATCACAGCACAAGAGATTTTTCATCTATTCCTCTTCCAGCTAAGGGTCACTTAAGCCTCCTTTCTTCATACTTCTGTCAAAGATAACTAGAATTAGATTGTATCACAGGCTATATCTTGAATGTATACTCAGTAACAAATGCTTCCTGACACACTACTGGAGCAGTAGTTTCATTTTCTAGAATGGAAAAACAGATTTACTTGCCTTTTATCTTGATGTTAGGTCACTCAACAGATATACATTTTTCATTCAAACTATCCTTCTTATCTTCCCAATTACTTTAAGGCAGGCAATACACAGAGTGTTGTACCAAAAACAGAACACAAAAAAACAGTACTCATTTCCAGAGCACATGGAAGCAAAATTGCTCTCAACTCTTGTATCCAACATAGGACTGTCACTGAAACAGATTCCTTATGCAAGATAAATTTGACATTGAGGGTAAGAAAGTTAAAACAGAACAGCAAAAACTTAGAATGTTGCTGTTAACTGTAAAAGAGGTATTTCCTGTGTGTTCTCCCTCCCCCCCCCAAGGATTTTCCCCAGCAAGGAACTCTCACCTTCCTCCTATATCTTAATAGGAAAATGCTTTCACCACAGCTGGATATAAAAATTACAGGCAGGCAGTAGGCACTGATAAAGGTATTGTCACACTGAGCCTCCACGTTTCCCAACTCCAGCTGCAGGATGGGATGAAAAATTGTAGAGAAAAAAATATATATATTAAAAGAAATTGAATAAATAAAAACATATAAGTGACACATTCTGTGGGCTGTGTATCAGCCACGGAGAAATCCCTTTTATCTCCTCTACACTGACTTAAAGAATGCCTGCAGTACTCTCTATGCAAGAAGCATATTGTTTTAACTGTAGAAAAGGATATGAAAGTTGTTTTAACTGTAGAAAAGGATATGAAAGTGCAAACAGGGAAATTTGCTGAAACATAAATTCAGCAACTGAATTAAACTGATCTGTTTCAAAAATTTAGGGGTATTTTTGTACATACCTGTAAATACTCTAAGTCACATCCCTGTTTTGGTGATTACCTACCTCCTGTTTAGATCTTTTAAAGTTGTAGATACTGTTAATGTGAGAGGTAGAAAAAAATAAAGGAAATCAAGAATTTTTTTTTTTTTTTATTTACTTGAAGCCAGACTTCCCACGTAATTTTCAAGAAATTAACTTGTATCAACATAACTGAAATGCATTTGGTGTTTCCAATGAGTATGCTTCTGCTCCCACTCTTTTTATAAAAGACTTGCCACAGAATATGACTCTAGTTGGACAACAAGGAAATAAGGCATTTTGAAAGTGGAGTAAAATGTACTTCCAAACCTGCTTTAAGGTACTGGTACATTTTAATAAATCCTGCCACCACTCTGAAGAAGGCTTACAGAATACATAAAGCTTTTTTATTATTATTATTTAAAAAAAAAAAAAAAAAAAAAAAAAAAAACAGCTAGATACAGTAATTATAGGTATTTTGGCCATTAAAAGAATCCACTTGCAACAACATGATCATTGGAAAGTTGAGTGTGCCTAACGCAGACAGAACTTTTCCAATAAGAATGATGAACAACTCTTAAGTACAATTCCTGTCAAAATGCTTCACTGAACAGCTAGAACAGTATCAATTAGAAAGGCTAGAGTATTAATTCTTACCAGATTAAATTAACAAAATAAATGCTCAATGAAAACATTTAATATAGCCTTATTTTTCTTTTGCACTTATTATTTCCTTAAAGAAGCTAATATTGCTGAGTTTGTATTGAGCAAAACATCCATTTGCAGCAAAATAAAACCCACTATATTAAATCTAGAATTTCTTTTTCACTATGAACATGCAATTCATCTGAGGGTTTCCTCAAGAAGAATATAACTTTCAACACGTATTTAAGATTTTCAGTTTGAAAGTAATATATTTGAAAATGCTGAATACTGCTATTTTCTCAGGAGAACATTACTATGACTGCTGTGGTTCTCCATTAAATTTAATGGAAAAATATAGAAAATAATTAACTTTAATAAATACATTTGAATGAAATACATAGATAAAATAGGCTTACTTAGCATTATGCAAAAATGCTTAGGTGGTTAAAGGTGATCAAGTTCTATGACCTTCAAGATCTAGTAAATTTTATCTTCAAGCTTGTATCTGCCCCTTCCTTCTCCCTGTTCCTAAACTAGTATTAAAAAAACCCAAAAACTTAGAGTACAGTAAATCATGAACAACCATAACTGAATAAAAAGCAAAGAAGAGAATGAGTTCTCCAACACATCCATTCGAACACTACCAATTTTACTCAGTATTCTGAACAAGTTTAGCATTTAGCAGAAACTCTCTTAATTCTCAGCTAGCTTAATTTAAATGTCTATTTGCACTTTGCAAGTCTGTTTTTTCTAATTTCTTATGGATGTTCCTACATTAAAGTCTGATGTTTTACCATCATTTCCTCAAGAACGTACAAAGTCAAACTGAAGAAAAAGAAAAAGAGAGAAGAATCAGTAATTAATTTTTAATGACGTCTCTACACAAACTAATTCTTAAGGATTTCACTAAAGTAGACCCAAAAGTTAAATACTTTTTACCCTAATATATACTGCTGCTCTTTCAAAATCTCCTTGATGTTCAAAGCACTCAACTTCTCAGTATTTCTGCTTGTTTTCAAAAAAAAAAAAAACTAATGCTATTTAGATTTCCTCCTGTCATGCTCTGCCATGCTCTGATTACACATGAAGTAGTTACTTATTAGCACCATTAGCCATGTTACTTGCATGTTACTGCAATTAACCCTTTATTTGGCTCTGCTTTTTCCATTCACAAATATGACAAAACAGAACAACGTGCAAGTGTCTATACCCTCGTTCTTCACTGATTTCAGAAGAATTGATACAACCTACACATTCCTAAAGTTTTCCTTGAGAATTTATAAGAAATAAAACAAAAAAAATGGAACATATGCAAATGATCACAAGTACATGTATTATTTGCCATGAAGGCTCCATCTCAACTAACTGAGTAACATATACAAACTGAACAGCTGTCTTAAGAAGTCTCTTACAGGAGAAAAGCATCAACCCCTGTTCCAATTATTATTACTTCATATAAGGTACTGAATATAGCATTAGAAGAGTCAAAATGGATCATGTCATATCCCTTTAGCATTAAGAAAAAGGAGCCAACTATTGGTTTTGGAGATCTAATTAATTAGAATAGTAAAAGGGCCTGGAAGAAACTGCTACTTTATCTTCACAGACAAAAAAAAAAAAATAGTATCCATAGTATTATTGCATTTTATACATCTTCAGTTAAATCAATGAGTTTTTAAAAAGGCCGAATTATCTATGAAGCACCTGAGATCTAGGATTAATTCTGCAAACACATAACAAATATGTGTATTCTAGCTGTTTTGTTAATTTCCCTCTGTTCAAGAAAAAAAAAAAAAGGAAATCCTGTCAATCTGGTAGACAGATGTTATTGGTTCTCCAGAACATGCTCATCCATTTATACATTAGTGGTACACTATTCTGTTATTATGTTCAAAAAATAATAAGATAATTAAATTTTAACAAGGTGTTATGAATATATCCAAAATTGGGTTCAATCTTTGAAGACTTAATATTTCTAATTATTTCTGTACATCTTTTCAGAATTTGGGAGGGCAGGGGATAAGTATAGTAAGGTAGCTGCAACAGCTTGCAAGAATACTGTATATAAGGTAGACCCTGAATCTTTTCCCCCTTCTTTGGCCAATGGATCAAACCTTCTGCCACACAAAAATATTAGTATTCTACATGGCAGCATTCTTAAATTGGGAGAATTACCTTGTGTTGAGCATGCCAAGACTGATTTGGGGGATAAACTAACATAGATACTCCCATTGTTTGCCTACTAAAGCTGAAAATAAGTATAGTAAGTAAAACTGAATCACATGAAATCATTTCACATCTTGGTGAACAATCATTAACATTTAATTCTAGAATAAAGTTTTGAACAGATGTGTTTCCTAGAGTTACCTCTGGATTGTGTAGTTCTCCAATGGAAACTCAGAAATAAAGAATACCTGAAAATAAGCTTACAATGTTCAAGAGAATACTAGAATTGGAAAAAAAATTAATTTCCTATTCCATTTATTTATTAACTATGTAAGTTTAACTACAATTGAAAGTGAAACCTTCCTAAATGAATTTTATCTCTTTTTCACTTACACAGAACTTCTGTGATACAGGTTGGTAAAGTACATCTCAAAGTAAAGTACGTAATAAATAAAATAAATGAATAAATCGTAAGAGATATCAGGGAGATAAGGGGGTCAGAAAATAAAAGAGAAACAGTTTATTAAAGCAGCTTCATTTGCACCTAATCATTACAATAACTCCTTCAATTTGGTTGAATTTTCAGTGCATTTTTGAAATGCCCTTTATGCTTAAGCATAGCTTTGTATCCAGTTCTCTTCTTAACATGAAACTGCTAAGTATAGTGACAGCCACAGATTACTGCTCCAAGGGGAAATCAACATTGCCAGAAAAGAAAAGTAGAAAGAGATAAATATTACTCATGCACACAACATGATCTCATGTTCCATTTATCTTATTTTAAGAATCAATCTACAGAAATTGATGTGGTTTCCAATTTGACCCTTCTCTTCCTCTTCCTAATCCTATTTGAAATAATCATAATTTCAAAGATTCAGAATGACTATGGTGTTCTTCAGTGGTCTGTGACCTTAAAGTTGTCACGCAGTGGAACCAGCACTGACATCAAGGACAGGAACTTCAAAGGCACCTCATGCATCCCCATCACAATTTTTCTTTAATAAAGACAACCAATACTTTCAATAAATATATATACAGCATTTTCTCCATATATAAACACCACTCATCAATAAAATAATAATCCAGTATTATTCAACAATACTGCCCTCTGTTGCTGCAGGGATTGTGCAAAAAATAGGCAGGGAAGGAAAGAAAAAAGATGATATACACAAAAAATTAAGGTTTTAACTATTTTATATTATATATATACACATTATATTATGCATTTTAACCAGTACACATGTCTCTGTGCCTTACATTTTCTTCCATTGTCTGAACTATATAGGCCATCATATATAGAAGAAGAAAAATCTAATGTAGCTCACATTAATTGTAATGCCTGTATTTCCAAAAGGAATTAATATATAATTCTTCAAGGGAAACCAATTTTTGGAAATTCAGCATATGGTTATCTAGAAATCAATACACTCAGAAATCTCAATTTTCTCCAATATTTACTGAAGGGGATAGTTATTAAAAAATGTAATTAGTATTCAGATCTACAATACTTTAGAACTTTATAGAACCATGTGTAACACCATAAATATGATTTGTCGGTTCGTACTAAGCAATGTGTCAAAATATATCAAATATTGTAGAAGAGTCAGATTAAAGTCTTCATATCGTAAGAATCTTCTTCTCACCCTCCACCATCAAGTTCCTACATACATGTTAATAATCGCTCAAGCACAAACAGCCTTAAATCCAGAAATAAGATTTTGTAACTTCTAAAATTTTCGGCAAAGCCTTCCTTTTCCCCACAATGAAGACTGGAAGAGGTCATTCATGTGAAGAAATAAAATATAGGATGTGGAAATGGAAAAGCAACATTTACCAAATACCCAATATTCAGCTGATTCTGGTA